CTTAGTCAATTTGTAGCACTCTCTTTTAATAGTTTTTAAGACATGGGCACAGCCTAATTTTTAGAGACCTGTTCAATAATAATACCATTTGGAAAATAATACGTCTAATTTAAATTCACACATTTCAGCATTTTATTTATTTAAAACAAATAGGTTGCTATTAAATATTGACTACTTTATTAACTGAGCGCGTCTGGGAAAACACTTATGATTAGGTTAATTTATGTTATATTTTCCCCTCAACTTGTAAAAGATTAATCAACCATTTTATGGTCTAATTTAGGTGCCTAATTAAAAACAGAGTTCAACACATGCTACACCGTCTTGCTAATAAATCCTGACAGCTTTGTAACATGATGGTTCATATTTCAAATTGTTGCATATAAATGTAGAATTTTGATCTTCACCCAGGAGCCTGAAGTGAGTTACATACTTGGTTTAAGCTCCAGGACTGAAAATACAATTACTTCAAAAAGGATTATCCCCAATCAGATCTTATCTCAAACATCCCTTCATGAAGAGGAAAACAGTCTTTGCCACCAAGTTGTTAGAAACAGACTAGGAAAATAGGGGAGAAGTTAGATTTCTCAGCATTTATTGAATTACAACGGTAGGAAAACTTGCTACTTTCAGCTATTAGCTTTCAGGAGGGAGTTTTTCTGAAGTTACTGGGTTTCAAAATCTAAGTCTAAAGAAATCTACTCAAAGTTTGGTTACAGTTGTCTCCTAGTTAAATATAAGTTTTGTCTTGACTCGTGGCACTGTATTTCTTTTAAATGAATAAATTCACTCCCAGAAGTTTTAGAGCATCTCTTTTAACCCCATGTCCTCCACACCTCTCAGCCTTACAAGGGGGCAAATGGAAGAGAATAAATCTATTCTCAGGAGGGACCTGTGTTGTTTTCTCAGCCTTTACACTTGAGGGATATTTTTGTCATTTTAATGACTCCTTTGACTCCAACTGTCCAGTCCAGGCAGAGAAAAGAAACTGCCATGGTGATGTAATTACCCTCACTCTAGTCATAAACCCACTCTGGTCAAGCAAGGAGCCTCTTCTGAAGCTGATATTTTTTTAAAGTGAATGACAAAGTGAGCAATGCACACTGAGGTCACGGAGTACATTGGAAAGCTCAAGCTCTTTTACAGCAAAACCAGTTTTGAACTTGTCATATATCACCACCATCATGTTTTTGGTCACTTAAGTGAGGGAGCATGGCACACAGCGACCTGGAGCAGGACTGCCGAGGTTAGTACATTAGCTCGCCATGTACTAGCTGGGACAACTTGGGCAAGTTGCTTAACTTCTCGGTGCCTGTGTGTTTTCATCTATGAAAGTACCTACTTCATAGGATTGTACTAAGGAATACTTTTGCTAATTCTGTAAAATTTGAAACAATACCTGGCACATTGGGAAAACATTCAGGAATGTTACCTACCAGCATTATACACACACACACACACACACACACACACACACACACACACATTTTTTTTTTTAACGTGGCCACATTATTAGTGTCAGGTTATTTTGTGCAACCAACAATGAAAAGAAGAGTCAAGATGGGGAATGAGTTTCTGCTCTGGAAAGTTTAAGGCACATTTCTAGGTAAAAATTAATAATCACACTATTTGGCTAACTTAATTCCCAAACTGGTATCATTATTAACATGTGTGAAAATCTACCAAACTTACACCAAGTCAAAAAGAGAGATATTAAAGCATGTATCTATTTAAGTTTAAGTCAATATTCAGAGCCTAAATGTCAGGTGTGTGCTTTCTCCCCGCAGGCATCTGGGAGGCTCACAGCCCCAGAGCTCTCAGCCACCACCACAGCCAGCCAGGGAAGGGGCAGGCCTGTACCTCACCCCACGCGGTGCTCACCGGCACATGTCGAGTCTGAGAGGCCTGAGTGAGGAAGAGAGCTGGATCATAAGCTGGAGAAGCAAACCCACATGAGTCTTATCCCCGACTAAGACATACTCAGGTTCCGGGGCAGATGGGCCGGGGGAAGGGCGCACTGACTTGTAAGTAGGTAGGGCAGCGGCAGAAAGCTGCTGCTCTCTGGCTGGTGGCGAGGTCAGCTCCGCGTCGCTGTGACCACGGTCGCCTCCATCCCACAACCGTCAATCCCACAACAGTTCTGGCCGAGGAAGGAACTACAGTCAATTTCGGAGACTTCATGCAAATCCGCGCAGGCCCAGGCTGCTGGCAAGGCCACAGGAAGGACTGGGCACCAATCGATGAAACCCATCGAGGACTTGGCACAGGCAGAGCCAAGATCTGCTCCTCCAGCCAATTATGATGCCGACACTCGGGTTCAGCCATCCATGCCCGTAGTTTATCACGCCTTCGAAATGCCGAAATGCTTTCAAAATGTTCCCCCTCTCCTCTTTTCTAGCTGTGAGGACTTGTTTGAACCACGTGTCTGACTGCAACTCCCAGGTTAATTATTATCTGTGCTCCTCTCCAATCTGCTGCCCGCCTGTAGGGACCGCGGGGAGATACCAGGACGCGCACCTCTGGCGAGCACCCGGGCTTGCCCAGCCGGGAGGGCGAAGGGTGCTCCCTGGCACCGGGTTTAGCAAAAGCGTCTGGGTCAGACGTCTCCTCCGGTGTAGTTACAGAAACTTAAAACGGCCGCTTTCAAAATAATTGTAAGTCTACACATTTGCTCAGACATCCCGAAAATTCTTCATTAATTAAAATGTGTTCATTAAACAAGGCACTTAAAATAGTTCTTTCTTTTTCCTTAAAAACACCCACTAGCCCAGCGGCCGGCGTGTGCTGGCGCCGCCCGGAGCG